TTAATAATCAATTAAAAGTATTAATGAAGAAAATAAAATAAAAATTATTAAATTAGATTCAAATGATGTTTTAAATCTTGCTCTAATTCTTAACATCTTATAGCTACATATTTAGGATTGTCAAAACGCCTATTTGTTCGTGAACGACTTGTGTTCGGCTTGCTAAGCAAACGAACCGAACATGAACACACTTTTTGATCTCGAGGTATAAATGATCTGAACGAGCTTAGACCTGGGCTCTCGTGTTCGGCTTGTTTACACCCCTACTTCTCATGAGGGAAATTGAACACAACTCATATAATTCGATTAGTTTTAAGCTGTTTATTTTGGACCGATTTAATAGAAATTGTTTGTTATATAACATAATTCAAATAATAAATTTATTTTAAAATAGTTTAACTAAATTTAAAATGAATTCAATAATTGCTTAAATATTGTGCTGTAATTTATACATCAAGACGACAATCTATAAAACCTTCCTTCAATTCGTTTACAGTCTCCACATCACTCTCGAGATCGGGAGAGAGAGAGAAAGGCGGGAGAGAGAGATAGGGGGGAAATTTAGGGTTTCTTAGTCTGCTTCGATTTGGGCTCTCTCATAGTTCAGTAGGGATCGTAATGGACAAGCTAAGGAAGCAGGCGAGCAAGCTCAGAGAGCAGGTGGCGAAGCAGCAACAGGTGATCTCCATTACTTTCTTATACATAGATTAATACGGCTTGAATGATTCGTTCGAAAATAAAGCATGTGGTAGATGTGGAAACCACCCTTCTCTTGGATTGTTTTTTTGGCGACCTTTGACATTAAGGGGTTGTAGGGTTTTGCATAGCTCATTCGGGAAGGAGGAAGTGTTTACTATTTTAATGCAGTATTCATGGTAAACGGACAACCGATTTTAGGATCTAATCCCTCCAGGATTTACTAAATTCCATCTGAATTAGATCGTATTCGTAGCCAATTAAGATTGTGTTTTGTTTGGGTTACATTTTGTTTGGAGGAGATGGAGGAATGCGGGTTCATTTTTTTTCCCACAATTTTATACTAGGTGTTTGGATTCAATGTGATTGATTGGTAATCTGGATTTACCTGGAGAATTTTAACAGATGTTCATTCTTCTTCATTGGGAATCTCTCATCCCATCCCAGTAAAAATTGGAAAATAAATGTATATGATCATTATTGTGACTCACGTGTACTTTCTAATCAACCAAACAATAATAAAAAAATTCACTTAAATTTCTCCTATACCAAGCAATCAGGTAAAAAATAGTTTCAATTAAACTCTACAATACCCATTTTTGTTTTATTTTTATTTACAATCTTTCAGTTCTGTCAATTCAATCAGTTCTAAAATAATAAAATAAAATTGGTGAAATAATTAATTTTGTTTTACTTATATTGTTCATTCTCCTTAGAAATCTGCTGCAGTGCAAACAAAACCAAGTTTTCCATATTTACTTTGCTGGGATTTACTTTACAGTACATTTACTTCACTAGAAAATTGTATCGACTACTTCACAATTTTTTATTTGTGAAGGAAATGGTACTTAGGTTATTAGTTTGATGTGTAGTAGCTGCATTTACTTTAGATCAAGCTATTTTTTCAGGAGTGATTATTTGGTTTGTAATGTGTACATAGGGGAAGACGTGCATTGGCATATATTAATGTGTGCTTTGCTATGTATTATTGTACATGGGATCTTAAAATATTGGAAGATTTACGTGCATACCACTCAATTCTTATGTCTTTACACATCTAACGCCCGAACCTCAATTTTAACATGTATGCACCTTACTTGTGCATGAAAAGGAGTATTTCACTCTTTAAAAGTTAAAAAAGTGGTCTTTTTGATGTGATAAGAAAGATTTGGGTGACATAAATGTGAAAATAAACTAAATTTACGGTTTAGATATGTAAATACATAGGAATTGGGTGGTATGTATATAAATGCCCCAAAAATATTTTCTACACAATAAAGCATTGTAAACACACACCAATAAATACAACTGCATATCCTTTTCTGCATGTGTGCTGCATATGTTAATTTTCTATTCCTTATTTAACCCCTTTCAAAAAATTGTTGCTAAAAAAAATGTTGCTAATTTTGTCGCGCGGGTTATCTACGGTATTTTGGATTATTTTTCATCCATTACACTTGAGTGTCTTAAGAAATTTGTTGGGAATTGAATGTATAAACAGAAAAATAAAGGACTATGCATGAAAAATGAACATGTATAAATCTAATTTTGTGTTAAAATTCTTCTTTTTTTTTGTGCACTAACTGCATGTTTGGTTATTGGACTTCTCGCACCGGTGTGTGCCCGATGAATTGTATATTATGCTGGTTTCACAATAAATTTATGGTGGCCTAGTTTTTCTGAAGCATTGATTGATGTTAAATGCGTCAGCTAATTATTTAATATATCGTCAGAGAGTTTATTTGGTACTGTAGAAGCATGCCTTATGGATCATGGAAATCATGGTGTTCTTGTTAAGGAGAAACCCTGCAGAAGCCACAAATAAGTGCTGGCAACATGAAACATTAATTTAAATTGCTGCTGAAAATTGTATTCATTTTTAAAAGCCAAAGAGGGGACATGTTGTGCTTGATGATTTAAAGTATATCAACCTTTATTATTCTCACTTCCTTCCTTAAGGCATGTTTGGCATTACTTCTATTTCTTTCTTTTTGTTTTTATTTTTTTTTTGTTATTGAAAACGGATCTTGTTGGTATAATTTTTACATGTTCTATTTAAAAAAATATATATATACGAATCAACTTGTTTTTAAAAATGCTCAAAGCACACAAAAGATATTTTGAGAATTTTTAAAAACAACTACCTCAATCAAACATATTTTAATTTAAATGAAAACATAAAAAAATAATTAAAAAAATGAAAAACAAAAATAAAAGTGATCTCCCATTTCTCTTTCTCTGCACGTTAATTTATAGAAGGAGGCTCAAGAAGCTTTTTGTTTTTGTTTTGTTTTTACTTGTGAGAAAAAGTGAATCTGAGTTCTGTTTTTATTCTTACGATTATGCATGCTTGCATGTATTTATCTTCAATGTATTGAGAGGTTCATCCATTCATTCATGGATACATATATACTACTGATAAAAACATGTGTGCATCCTCGCATTTGAACAATTATTTATAACTGACTTTCTTGTTTTATTAAATTTCAGGCAGTGATAAAGCAGTTCAGTGGAAGTGGTTATGAGAGTTCTGGTGTAATGGTCATCGATGAGGTTGAATTGTATAGACATCAGCAACTGGAGAAATTATACAAATCTACTCGTACAGCAAGGGTAAGAAAGGACGGGCCTTGCTTTTTGTGCCCATTGTGTTCCGATATTCGTTTCTCAATTAACTCACTATAACCACCCCCAAGGTGCTTTCAAAACTGCATTTCTTCGTTTAAACTCATCTCAAATAATACTACACTTTCCCAAGAAGGTACTCATAATTTGTTTTTCTTGAGTTGTTTCCAAACTCTGTCTACATCATACTTTTTATGAATACTTTTTTTAGTAAAGCATATATATCATCTTTATATTTTTAAAGATTTTAAATCCCTCTCTATAATTATATATTTAGGTATATCGTAATTAACTTATTTTTATTCCTTTCCCGTTATTGGCTCATCTCCCCTCCCCCTTTAGTACGGCTAAGCCTTTTATGAGTAGAGATATGTCAAAAATAGTTCGGTCGTTTTATTTACATCCTATTGCCTCTTTCAGCCTTTATCCTTTTCTTTTGTCAAGTTTCCATTTCACCTATTGTTTGATCCGCACTCTTCAATTTTTTAGATGTACTCTTAAATTATGCTGGATTGGTTATTCTAAGGATCAAATAAAGCCAGGCTTATAGTGGACTCTTTAAGTAAATGAGCTTGTTAAAGCAAGCTGAATTAGAGGCAATTATGGGTTCAATATGAATGAACATTTAACATTAAGTTTTATTATACAAACCCACCTAAATCAATTTCTTAGCCCCCTAATCGACCTGGTCGTCTTATGTGGACTTTTAGAACAGTCAATAAAGCTTGCTTGACATTGGGCACACTTGTGCCCTCTATGAATTTGAAAAGTCATAGAAACGTGTTGAGGCACAAAGGGATGCTTTTTGTCTCAATTGAAGCTGGAATGAAGAGGGCACCAATATTAACATCAAAGATGATGTATATCACACCTAAAGAGATAGCAAGGTGTTAACACTAGCTTCCATTCTAAGAGGTGATCTGTGATCAACCACATTAAAAGATGTGGGCAGCCACTAGTACTCTAATAAAAAATGCTCTTGATAGTCACTTCATCACCAGGGGAGGATTTTAGGGTGTAGGGGGTGCCCTTTAATTTATGATAGAGAAGTTAATATAATGCTAATATATAATTCCTTCTCTTCTGTAACCAAAACCCTAGATTCTCTATGTTTGCCTCAAGTTGGATTGCCTTAACAGCCATAGCCAAGGCTCACCTAAGCGAACAGTCATTACAAGCTCATTGGATTAGCGCCAATAGTTACAATCAGTTTATGATCTAATGTCCATAACTCACTGACTTAAAGCTCTATTGTTCATGCAAGGCTTCCTAACCTTTGGATTGGGTTCCACCCTGTGAAATTTGTAAATTGAACATCAGGAACTGGACAAGGTTTACCATCCATTCTCACATTTATGTTCCACCCACAAAGTATTGCCCATAATTGCATTTGCCCTATAGTGAGAACCTTGAAAGTTAGTATTGAGGAGACATTATTATTGGGGAGTGCATTTCTAATTTAAGACTTTAGCCTGTAGGATGTTTGAAGCCCATATTTAAATAAACAAGGATATAGACATCAAGGGAAATGTGGTTATAATATTGATTTGCCTTTCAGGAAAAATCTCAAAATTCCTCTATAATCTTTGGTATTTCTTCCAGGGCTTACAAAAATGCTCTCAGCCGCCTCTTCGTCATAACTGTGCCCATTCTCCCTTCTTTCAGGGCTTACAAAAATGCTCTCAGCCGCCTCTTTGTCATAACTGTGCCCATTTTCCCTTCTTCCATCACAATTGAATTTTAGGGTCTGTTTGGAGCAGTTGTAGTTTATTGATAATCTGCTGATAAACAGCTGATCTGAATAAGCTGCTGATTCGGATAAGTTGACTGACAGTTTGGTTTCAGCTGTTTAAAAACAGTTGTTTTGCAGCTGTTTGGAATAAATGATCATTCTGCCTCTGTACAGTGAAGCTTTTTACAATAGAACTGTTATAGAAATATATTTGTTGATCCAGAAACAAAAAACGAGTTCAGAACAATACAAAAAATAAACTACAAACTTCACTTAACAGTGAGTGCCGAGATTAATAAAAAAAGAAAAAAAACTATTAAAATGACAATTAAAATTATGAAAATATTAATATTAGTTTTGACCATTTTTGTTGATGGTGTAGATGCACCCAACTCCCTTGGAATCCACCCAGATGCAGGGCAAAAAAAAATGATAATTTAAGTGGCCATAAACAAAATTCAATTTTTCATTTATGACATATTGATTGAATTATTTGCAGAGAGCACATATGTATAAACCATTTTGTCAAACACCAAGCAGGACTGACTTTCAGAAATCAGATGCTTGCAGAAATATTTTATCTCAATTCCTGCTTATCTTTTGGTCTTTAGAGTAATATTTATGGGCAGATTTGAGAAACGCAGAAAAAAATTGAAAGGCAAGGGAGGAGTAGGGTAAAAGGTCTTGGGTATTTCGGAGAAAACAGGACTGAGAAACATGAGGGGGTTCAAGTACGAATCTGGAGTTGAAAAGGAGTAGAGGCCTCTGGTCGCTGATCGCAGCATGTCGTTCGAGGTTGCATTTGCCAAAACATGGAGGAATATTAGGGGATGAGAAAACAGTAACCAGAAAGAAGTTGTGAATCGATTCTTGGATGGAGAAAATGGCCAGTTTAGGAGATCGACTGCTCTGTGATTTGGATCGTGCATGTGGAGGAGCATCCAAGTGCAGCTGTATTCGAGAGAAGATGGGAGCGCGATAGGGCAGGTTAGCAGGGTAAAAGAACGCAAATGAACGCGGGCCGCGGAGTCAATCCCGCGGCCGCATTTATTTATTAAACCAAAACATTATATTTGAAAAGGTCGGATGAACGCTGTAACCAAACAGTAAGACGGTGTTTTTAAAACGCCGTCTGCACTTATAAGTTGTCCGAAACGGGCCCTTAGATAAACAATGGCAACCACTTACCGATCACTGAATTCAATGCCTTTGCATTTTATAACCATATGCTTTTAAGGGGTGGCCAGCAGAACAACAAGGCAGGTGGAAGAGGAGATTGAGATTGTATCGGATCATTTTATTACTTGTATGAGTTGTAGCTAGATAGATTAAACTATATAAAGCACCAAGGTTGACGTGACCATGGTACTTAACATCAAATGCAAAAACTCGAGGGCACATGCAAATGCCCTTCTATATGGTACAAAGCATTAGATATGTTGGGCAAGTGTGTGGCATGCACTATTATGATTTTGTGATTCCACAGCCTTAAATAGGGCATAAAATTAACTATGTTCAGAGGCATGTCGGGGCCATCTTTGTGCTATGTATCAATGCCTTTTCTGGTTCTTCGAGTATATTGATCCCTAGTAGAATATCTTCTTAAGTTTAGTGGCTCCAAAAAAAAAATTATTTTTGAGCTTTATCTGCTGAAGTTTTTGTTTGCGGTAGGTTGAATTGAGTCAAATAAGAATTGATCCTTGGGCCTCTTGAACAATCAAGACTTTTTAATCGTAGGGTCATTGTAGTCTCTTACTAGCTTCTGGTTTGGAGTCATCTCTCAATCTTGAAGTAGCATGCAACTTGGCGATGAGAGTTTTCTATCAATATTCACATACTTGAACAATCATAACTCTCTTGTTGTTCAATGTTGTTGCATTTAGTCTATGTGCGTTGAGCTCTTATCTCAAAAGAGTTCATTTTATGTACTCATTATTGTTGCATTGTAATAGGTTTTGTGTTGTATGCTCTTTTCTCAAAAGTGTTCCTTTTATTTATATTAATAAAATGTTGTTATTTTACCGATTTTAATCTCAAATGTTGTTAAGCATATTACAGCTAGCACCAAATCCCTATCTTACAAGATTGATCTTTCATTGAGGCTTAGGCATCACTAGATTCTAACTGTTTGTCTTCTAAGATGAAGCACCTAATTCGCATCACTTTTCCTCATTGAACTAGAAAAAGTTTCCTTGCAAACTAGCACAAGTTTAAAGTGTGTGCTGGGCAATCCGATCAGAGGTTGTACTGTATATTTTTATTGGTGGTTTAAAAGAAAAGAATTATAATTTTTTGTTTTGAATGTCATGTTGTTATGTATTTGTTTTGTGTATATCTGCATTTTATTCAAGTGGCAATTGCCATTTTCTTTTCAGTATTAGCGAGTTTTGACTGAGATAATGTTTCTTCAGGATTTCCAAAAGGATGTTGTTAGAGCAGGTGACGTTTTTGCAAGTATTGGGCATAGACATATTGAAGCTGGTGATTGCTTTTAAATTTTTTATTTCTTTAAACTGTAATACTCTCTTGTCGTTTTTTTTTTTTTTTTTTAAATGGATTGTGTTCATGATTATAAGGGACAAAATTGTCGGAGGATTGCTTTAAGTATGGAGGTGAGAACTATGCAAGTGATGGGACTCTTGCTAAAGTTGCATCTTTATATGGCGGTGCTTTAGTGAATGTGGAGAAAGAGTATGAAGAATATAATAAAATTTTAATCACACAGGTCTGTTTACTTATCTGTTCCTTATAAGTTATAAGATGTCTTGTAATACTTGGATTTCTGTTCTATGCTTGTTTTTAATATCAAGCTAAACCATGTCCATTTTCAAAATCAACATGCCTTGTTCTGCGGTTCTTTCTTTTAATCCTTGAACACATTATTTAAAAATGAAATATATGTTGATTTTTGAAGTGTCTACTTGGAGCAGCCAGTGCTTATATATGAAGGATGTGACATCGGTCTTTTGTATGATATTGTGATGATGATAGCCTTCTCGTGAGAAATATTAAAAAAAAAACTATCAAAATGCGTTGGGAATTGTCTCCTTTCAACTTTGAGGGACTTGAAGAGGCATGAGATTAGCTCTATTGGGTGAAACTCTTCATTAATATCATGCTACTATAAGTTTTTTGATTTTCAATTTTTTGGTGAACCAAAGTCATGTAGCATAGTTCAAAAAATTGGGTTAATCGTCTCAATATGATAAGCTTTACATGTTGGCGGTTGATGGCCATCATACTATGATTTTTAGCAAATGTTGAATGATGATCTATGAGGAACATAATAAGGTGGATGGTCGATATATGATTGGATGGGCATCTTTGGATTTTAGTGGTTGACAAACGTTAGTTTTTGACTAGCATCATGCATTTGGTGAGAGCCGATGGGGAATGTCGGAAGTTGGATAGTGCGACTTTTTTTTAAAATGATGTTCGAGGCACACAAAGAATGCCTCGAGGCTTAAACCTCACTGTCACCAATGAGGCTTAAGCCTTTTTTTTTTCTCCCTAATCTCGAGGCATGTGAAGTGGTGTTTTAGTTAGGCTATGTTAAAAAACTATATTGTATTATTTTATTAATGTGTATTGCATTATATTTTATTATATTATACTTTTCTCATATCTTATACATCACTTTGAAAAGGATAGAAGGTAATTTAATTATGATTACTTGATTATGTTATTTACTTTTTATTTTATTTTAAATTATATTTGATCTTATATTAATTGATATAGTGAGTAGAAAGAAAAATGTAGTGATTGAAGAAGATTTACAAAATGTCAATGAGATATAATTAGATGATAATAAAATAATTACAATAACAATAATAAGCTTTTATTCCATTAAGTGGGTTTGGCTACATGAATCTTTTTCCTCATTGTGTTCTATTGAGTGTCATATTTTCATTTAATTCTAACAAATTAAGGTCATCTTTTATACAACATGCCCGAGTCTTTTTAGGTCTACCTCTACCTTTCTTAGCATAAGTCGAATCTAAATGTCTACTATCCTAACAAGTTCATCAGATGACCGACATTTAATATGACCAAACTATCTATGACGGCTCTCTCTAATTTTGTTTGTTACTAGAGCTACACCAACCCTTTCATGGATATATTAATTTGGAATTGTCTCTAAGTGCCCACTCATCCACCTATTCATTCTCATCTCAACAACACTTAACTTAGTTTTATGCTTCTCTTTTATAGGCCAACATTCTATGCCATAAAGTATTGCAAGTCTCACCATCATTTTATAAAAAATTCTTCAAGTCCAAGCGGTACTTTCTATCACACAATAGGCCTGATGCATTCCTCCACTTCAATCATCCAACTTGAATTCTTTGAATACCATCCCCATCTATATCACCATTGCTTTGAACAATATACCTGAGATATCTAAAACGTTCACTCCTTTTAATGACTTGATCACCCTTTGTTACAACCCCACCACTAGATCTACTACTACTAATCTACTACTACTAAAATACATTTTATATATTTAGTTTTATATCTACTCAAACGAAAGCCTTGAGACTCTAAAGCTGACCCCCATAATTCAAGTTTTTCCTAAACTCTTTCATTAGTCCTATCCACAAGAAGGATTTTATCAGCAAAAAGTGTTCGCCAAGGTACATCCTCTTGTAAATGTCCAGTAAGAATATCCATAACTAAAACAAAAAGACAATCCCCGATGTAGTCCAACTGAAATAAGAAAATACTTGGGTCAATCTTCTTTCTGGAAAAACATAAGTAACAACTCTAGCGTACATATCTTTAATGACTTGAATACAAGGCATTCAAACACCTTTCTTTTCTAGAATTCTCAAAAAGAACTTCTCTTGAAACTTTATCATAAACATTTTCTAAATCAACAAAATCATATGTACTCCTTGCTCTCTTTGTTACCCATTTTGTTCTTTTCAATTCAAACCTCTCAACAAAAATAATTTGTATAACTTATAATAAAATTACATATGATGATTTTTCTTAAGGTTATCAAAATGAGAATTAGGTCATTGTGAATCTTGTTGTGCATAGTGTATTCAAATTTAATATTAATGCTTATTATGAATCTAATTTTAAATATTGATAAAACTGAAATTTGTGGTTCATATTTTTATGATAATAAATCAAATCAATATATCAATAACGTATGTTATATTTTTGAATCATTTTTTATTTTATAATTTTTTTTTCTATTTTTTAGACTTATAATGCTGGAGGCCCTCAATCCTCCTCGAGGTTTATGCCTCGCTTAAGGCAAAATGTCTCAGTTTCTAATTTTACTTTCTAAAACCTTGTTGGCGACAATGGATATCGATCTTGGTTGATGGTTGAAACGGGACAGTGATGATAGGCATTGACAATTGTTGACATTTGCTATTCGGCCGCCACGAGCAATGCTCTAGAATTTACAAAGTCTAAAAATCCTCTCAACTAATAGTTATGCCCTAAATGAGTTTAAATAATGTCTATTTATAGATTTATGGAGGGTAATATTATTCATTTATGATAAGAATTCAGACAGCCCGTAAAGGCCTCAGTTTTTTATACTTTTTGGACATCTCAATGCCTTGTTAATCTCATAATTAAGCAATTTTTGGCCTATTCATATGTTCATTTCAATTATGAGCTCACAAAATCTGGATGATATATATGACTCCTATTGCAACTAGTTGATATATTTGATGAAGGTCACACAATACATACTAGGATTTGCAGATAAAAGATCACCAATTAAACATAAACTCTCATTCTTTTGTGGTAAACTTTAAAATATGATAAGCTTTAACCTTACGACATTGCAATGACCAAATATGTCTAAGAAAATCAAGTAGAAATTGAGAACAAAAATTCATTGAGCATGTTGAAATTTTGCATTGCCATTGAAAGCCCACTGGTAAGGAATTTAATTAAAATCTGTAACACTACAGAGCCAGTAACAAGATATTAAAAAAAATAAAACAAAAAGAATTTTTGAGTTGGAGAAAGTTAAGAATTGCATTGGTTCAAGGAGATACAACAACAACCACAACAAGCCTTTATCCCACTAGGTGGGATCGGCTATTTGAATCCTTTTTCTCCATTGTGTCCTATTGGGTGTGATATTTTAATTTACTTTTAATAAATTAAGATCATTTTTTATACAATATGCCAAAGTCTTTTTAGGTTTACCTTTGCCGTTCTTAACATCAGTCGAAGCTAAAACATCTACTATCCTAGTTGGATCATCTGATGGTCGACGTTTAATGTGGCCAAACCATCTAAGACGACTCTCTCTAAAATCTTGTCCGCCACTGGAGCTACACCAACTCTATCATGGATATATTCATTTCACATTTTCTCTAAGTGTCATGCCACTCATCATGCCACTCATCCATCTAAGCATATCTAAGCATTCTCGTCTCAACAACACTTAACTTTGTTTTATGCTTCTCTTTTCAAGGCCAACATTCTATGCCATAAAGCATTGCAAGTCTCATCACCATCTTACAAAATTTTCCTTTTAGTTTAAGCGGTACTTTTCTATCACACAATAGGCCCGAAGCATTTCTCCACTTCAACCAACCAACTTGAATTCTACTAATAATATCTCCATCTATATCACCATCACTCTGAACAATAGACCCGATATATCTAAAGGGTTCACACCTTTTAATGATTTGATCACACGCATAGTTACAACTCTGTCACTAGAGCTACTACTAAAATTACATTTCATGTATTCAGTTTTAGTTCTACTCAAACGAAGGCTTTTAGACTCCAATGTAGGCCTCCATTATTCAAGTTTTTCCTGAACTTATTTCTCTAGTCTTATCCACAAGAAGGATATCATTAGTGAAAAACATGTACCAAGGTACATCTTCCAATAAATGCCCAGTAAGTGCATATGTAACTAAAGCAAAAAATATGGGCTTAAAGCCGATCCCTGATATAATCCAACTGAAATAGGAAAATACTTGGGACAAAGAGATAAATTCCCTAAAAAAATTATTGCACAAGGAGATAATTTCTCTTAAAGTAATCCATCATCCAAGTGAACAAAATTGACAAAAATTTGAAGGTTTATCAAGCAAAAAGTCTCTTACATGCTTTAGATTTTATGTTTATAACATCAAGTTTTCCTAAACTCAATTGCATCACATCTTAATCAGTTTGATTCACAAAGACTTCACATGATCATTGTAATGGTAGGAATATGTGCTAGGATATATACAATTGACTATATGAATTATTTCAGCAACAAAGACATGCACATCAATTTGGGATGGATATGCCTTTGCTAATGACTGGATGAAACAATAGTAGTCTAAGGGTCATTTGGTACTTAGTTGCAATTCTCTGTAAAAATAATTGTTCTTTTGCAAAAAAAATAAATTATGTTATTATAGATTTTTTTTAATTAATATAAGTTGAATAGGAACTTTTTTATTGTTGCTGCATACTAGTATATCTGATTATGAAAAGCTCTACCTTATAGATAAATTTGTGAAATCCAACAAAAAAGTTATAGTTAAATAGAAGTGTGGCAATGGTTTGTAAAATAGGACTACGAAAAAGCTGTCCAAAAGATATCTCAAGCTGCTATAGGTACCCCTTGAGGATCATTGCTACTTGACTGTTGCATCCTCTTTTGATGCCACAACCATCTGCACCAATGCCATATGGATTGTTTTGGAGTGGAGGGTTTCGATTCTAAATTGACTCAATCTCAAGATTCTTTTAGTAGCTTTGCTGATTTTGTGCATAAAAGATTTTTGCTAGAATTTTTTTTGTTGAGGCACTGAGCAGAAGAAAGTTTTTCTCTCATAGATTTATAAGATTTCAAGTGAGCTATCATTTTTGTTATGTAGTTTTCATATTCCTAAGGATTTATTATCTAAAGCTATTATGCTATTTCTACCTTGTCTAATATAACCTTGTATTTTGCTTGGTAATTATTACTAATTGATCTTGATGTACTCATATCTTTTTATAGAAAAACTAGAATTAATGCAACCATTCACTTGAGTTGAACTAGGTCAGAGGTTTCTCATACTATAAATATCATAAATAAGAGAACATATTTTGTTATCATAGGAACATCACAAGCATATTCAAAATAGAATGAACCGTGAACTAAATAAAATTACAAAATCAAACTAAACTAAAATATTGTTCAGATTCATTGAGTGATTATTATGTCTAGATTTCGTAGGTACGATTGGTAGTATTTTAGGTGTTATTCGTAGTATTGCAGCATATTTTACCACAAATTACAATACCATCAATAACACCTAAAATAATAACATCCGCACCTAATCCGGTTGCAACTCATCCAGAGGTAATAATTTTTCCATTCATTTGCTTGATGTTTCTGACAGGCATAAAATTTGTAGATCTCCGTTACTATTTTTGGTGCTATTTGGACACTTCATTTCAAAATTTGTCAGTCCATAATGAGTTAAAAGAAGGAGACTTTTGTTATTATGAATTTATTTTTGGGCACATCTGCCTATTCAACATTTAGGTGATTAAGTGGGAACCCAGATCTGAAAGCTTGAGGGCCATAAGTTTTTGGAATTGCATCCTATAGCCAAAATTCTATGGAGCTGGAGATTGTCGTGCATCACTGAATAGGGACCCTCAGATTATGTCTAATAATTATCCTCTGATTTTCATGAGCAGGGCTAGAGAGAAGTAATGGGTAAAGTACCATAAAGAGCATTCCAATCTTATTCTACTTTATAGTTTGGTCGCTAACATTTAGAAAATAGCATCAAAGTTATTATATTTTTATTTTTTTTATAATAATTGGATTACTTCTCAAGAGAGTATCAGATTTGTTTTAATAGAATCCAGCACATTATTTATCTATGATAAATCAGAGTGTAATAGAATCCATAAACTAACAAAACCATCGTTGACCCATATCTTGCAAGTCATTTAATACATATTAAAAATATAAGGGTAATTTTGTTAGTTTAATGAATATATATGACTTTGATTTTGTCACCGGCATTAATGCATATATTATATTTTCTTTATAAAATGTGCAAATTATAATCAAAATTGAAAATATAATAATTTACATGGCATATTTTGAATGTTAATGGCCAAAACTGCAAATAGAATAAAATTCAATGATTCTTGTTCTACTTTACATTAATTAATATTTTCTTTGATTTGAATATATTCATGAATATGTAAGTCCTACACTTTTGGGTAGATCTTTTTTTTTTTCATGTTTGTCTCTTCCATGTCGACCTTACTGAACTATAACATTTCATGTTTGTCTCTTCCATGTCGACCCTTACTGAACTATAACATTTTGAATTGTAATTTCCATGTATATGATGCTGTAGATGCTAGAGCCTTTAAGAGCAATGGCTACAGGTACTGCCTTGGAAGATGCCCGCCATCTCGCTCAGCGTTATAGTCGGATGAGACAGGAAGCAGAAGCTCAGGTAAGGTCTTTGTGCCACCTTTTTTTATTCCTACATATGCAACTATTTTGAAAAAAAAATCGTAATTCTGTGCTTCTTTGTGAGCCGCATTTTATAATTTTTTTTAGGTCATTCACATACATACCACCCAATTCTTATGTATTTGCATACACCTAAACTTAATTTTTTACATTTTTACCACCCAAATCATTCATATCACATCAGAAATACCATCATTTTTTAAAAGTTAAATACTTTTTTCATGCATAGGTGATGTGGCATGTATGTGAAAATTGAAGTTTAGGTCTTAGATATGAAAATACAGAAGAATTAAGTGGTACTTATGTAAATCATCTTTTTTTTTAATATCCATTGTTTTAAGAAATTCGGATGAGTTAACAGGTAGGAGAAGTTTCAAGGCGGCAATCTCGAGTGAAAGAAGCCCCTATTTTTGAAAATACTTCAAAGTTACAGTCGTCCGAATCTAGGATGCAAGATCTAAAGGCAAACATGGCTGTCCTTGGAAAGGAAGCTGCTGCTGCACTAGCTGCTGTTGAATCACAGCAGCAAAGGTTGACTCTCCAGCGCTTAGTTGCTATGGTGTGTAATACTCTTCGACTCCAAGGAAATTAAATTTGGCCTGAAAGCAGTTTTTCATATTTATACTTTTTGTTTTGTTTCAAGGTTGAGGCAGAAAAGTCATTTCATTTAAGGGTAGCTGCTATACTAGATGATGTTGAAGCAGAGGTACTACTTTTCACCTTCACCATTCGACCATTCAATGGTCCAAAAGTTAAAAGTTTGTTACAAAAATTGTCTGTAGATGCTCTCTGAAAAGCAAAGGAAAGAATCAGCCATTCCTTCAGTTCCTAACCACACACCACAACCATCACCTAAACGTTCTGAAAAGGCATTATATTTCCTTGCTGAGGTAAAAACTATTAATATTCGTGTGGTTTTAATATAATTTTATTGCTGTTAAGTTGAGTAGATTTGCTTTATGATTCCTGCTTGCAGGCAGTGCACCCATTCACAGCCTTTTCAGAGAAGGAATTGAGCTTGGCTGTTGGCGACTATGTCGTAGTGAGGCAGGTAAGCCTATTTTACTAGATTGTATAATCTCATGAGAAACCTGACAGTCATCATCATTTTATGCCTGACCTATTTTATTTTTTATTTTTTGGAAATTTACGTACATACTGTTTTATCTGACACCCGAAGTTTGATTTTTACACTTGTAACACCTTGGGTAATAAACCTATGCATGAAAAGATGTATTCAAAATATAGTTATGGTGATATTTTTATCTGATGTTAAAGATTTGATCGGCTTGCATGAAATATGAATATTTATTTAGGTGTTATATGCAAATACATAAGGATTGAATGGTACGGTACATCCTCCCCACCCCTGTTCTTCCGGGCTCTGAAACTGTCTTTTCATATGGAAAGCTTGGTAGTGCCTTATAAATTTTTTAAATCCTGCTACTATCAATTGTGTGACTATTCTCTAGAAATGAAATTCAAAATGATACTATTTGTATGATCATTTTGGATAAAAGTTGAGTCGATAGACTAAATTGGACGTATTATATAATTTAGGGCTAAAATGGCTCGTCATTTATATTTTAGGGATCATTTTGATATTCAGTCTCTTATCCTGACTATTGCAAAGTTCAAAATTTATGATCCACATCACTAACCATTTTGACCGCATCAACACATTCACAAGATCCTCATATTTGTTTGTCTTATATGCTTTATTCTATGTAAGGATTTTAGTGAGGATATTTTGTACTATATGCTTTATTCTATGTACAGATTGTACTGAGGTTATTTTGTTTCTCTCAAGAACTGTGTCCATGGGTGGGCCTTAGGTTATCGCCAAATGCAAGAAAAGTTTTCTATCTTTCCCCTTTCTTTTTTGGCCACCTTTTTGGAAATTAAATTTTTTGAAGTCTTAATGTATCTTTAGAGTCTATGAGAGGGAACATAGTTATAATTATGATACTTGAGCATGTGAATGCCAAAATCTTTGGATTTTGTGGTTGGGTGCTATTCTTAAGGGCAGTCTCATAACGGATTTAGGCCAGGATTCAACCTAGATGTAGGCTAAATCTTGTAAGACGGTCGTTTTGGACAAAATAAAGCTGCGGATTTGATAAATCCTAATTTCACGGATTTCTGCCGTAAATCCGAGATTTACTAAATCCCGCAAATCAGTGGATTTACATGATTTACGAGATAGAGCTATTAGGATTTATCTGGATTTGATAGATTCTGATTTCTCGGATTTCGGCCATAAATCTCAGATTTACTAAATACCACGAATTGGTGGATTTGCAAGATTTATAGGATTGAGCTATTAGGATTTATCTGGAAGTAGGCATAACTTTCCAAACAGTTTTAATGGATTTACAAGATTTACGAGATTTCATTGCTAGACAGTTTTCTAATTTAACCCACCTAAGATTTCATAAATCCAAATTTACCGGATTTTACTAAATCCTAATAACTTAAATCTCATCTTTTGCTAGAAAGCACCTTAATGTCTAGTTTCTACTTGTGAAAGATTTCAAGTCCAGTTGGTGATAGATAGAATCATATGTTTGAGCCTCTTCAAATCATCCAATTTTTTTTAAGTGTTGCAACTCCATTTCTCACTGCTATTTTTGCATGAAATCTGGTTTTTCCTGCTCTTAAGCGCTACAATCTTTTTTTCTTCTGCTGTCACATCACTGTTAGTTGAACGAACTCCATCAAAGATTTGTTGTGTTTATTGTAAAACTTGCCATGCTTGTTTTTTCATATTATAAACAATCCTTTTGTCTACAACAATTTTGCGCCCTTTTTGTTGTGTTTGGCCAATTGACAGTCAAGTTAGACCATCACTTTTAAATTTGAGTTTGCTCAGTGCTTGGATTGTAGTAACTATTTTAGTGTTGTTTTTTTCACATACTTAAATCATATACTTCAAAGAAATGATCCGATTTGATTTTATAAGGAATTCATATCCTAAAGTTTGTTGAATTTATTTCCTGCAACCCATTTGGCATAGCAGTTGAAGGTCTAGCACGCATATACTTAAAAGTGAATATCTTTCTATTGTTCTGCACACGTAGCTGCTGCTGCTTTCTTCATTTCCCTTAAAGTGAATGTACAATTTTTCAACATAATGAGATTGTGACGTGGCTAATTGGAATTTTTGTATTGGGATGACAGGTTGATCAATCCGGATGGTCTGAGGGTGAATGTAAGGGCAAGGCGGGTTGGTTTCCTTCAGCTTTTGTGGAGAGAAGACAGGATATCCCTCCGAACAAGGTTTTACCACATGATTTGTAAAATAACTATAAAGTTTGTTCTGCAGATTTGACCATATTAGCAGCCTCTTTGTATGCAATTCTGCTGTTATGATTCATTCTGTTATTATAAAAGTGCTTTTATATCTCCTGTAATATTCATTATATGCATATATGTATATCATGGGAACTATATGTCAGATAAATCAATACTTGAGCCTTAATTATTTTTGTATTATGATGGCCTTTTTCAGTATATTTAGCCGATGATAAGCTTAGACTTTAATTAACTGTTTATAATTATTAATATTATCTTGAGTACTATAAACTAGTTGATTAACATAGAAAACATTTATCTCAAAATAAATTCAATAATTATAAAAAACATTTTTTAACTAAAATTTGATCAAAATATTCTACTAAAAAATATCTGAAATGGTGCCATATATATAGACTACAGCATGCAGCAGAATCTTCCCTTCCAAAGGTGATCAATTTCTCCTCTTGACTCCATGTACACAAGCCCAACCATCCATTTCAGCAACTGAAATGTTATCCATATACGCTGCAAAACGTTCTCTTATTTGATGAATCTGCAACCAACCACTAATGTTATGACTGAAAAATTGCATCGAAACATAATATTTGAAGTTCTAATGCCTAAAAAGGTAAATTATATTGCATATTATAATGGGAGATTAATTGCATGGCATTATTCTTAATCACAATTTTAGAAGATGCTTCTGTTTCAATCTCAACAAAAAAGTGAAAAACACCCTTTCATGCCAACACTCAAAGTTAGATATTTACACTTATAACGCCATACTGTCATAAACTGAGGCAAGAATAAGTGTATTTCAATTTTTAAAAGATGGTGATGTTGTATTTTTTATGCAATTTTGAAAGATTTCAGTGGCATGCATGTAAATATGAATGCCTGCCAGATATGTAAATGCCTCTTGAAAAAAATGCAGAATAAAATAGTATGCTTATCTTGACAATATGCAATTCGGAGAAAAATGAGTACCTGCTCAGACAAGACTCCTGATAGAGCAATGACTGCACCAGGCTTCCCATAGGAAACAATATCTCCAGCTAATTCCAACAATGGATTCAACAGTATATTTGCAATCACAATATCGAAATCTGACTTTGCGGCAGAGAGTTCCATATTATTTGAGCTTCCAATTTCAGGAACCAAATATACCCTCATTTTATCAGCCTCTATCTCATTCAAGGCCATGTTCTGAATAGCAGAAGCAACTGCCTCAGGATCTACATCTATTCCCACTGAGAAACTGGCACCCATCTGCAATTACGATAAGAAAGACAAAAAATTGCCTTTGCTTCCATGAGCATACCACCCAATTCATATGCATTTACAAATCTAACACCTAAATTTTACTTCTCACATTTATACTGTCCAATTCTTTTGTATCACATCAAAAATACCACTATTTTAACTTTTGAAAAGTGAAATACACCCTTTCAAGCATAGATAAGGTGATATGTATGTAAAAATTGAAGTATAGGTGTTAGATATACAAATAAATAAGAGTTGAGTGGTATGCAGGTAAGTCTTCCATTTTCCTATCAACAATACAAGATAAATCGGGGCAGCATCAACATGATAGAAGATCTGATGATCAACCTTGTATCGATTTTCTCAATGATTTATCCGGCTACCAGCCTATACTAGATTAAAATGCATCTGACCAATTAGTACTTGTTTTTATTCCGGTGAGGAGACATTCGACGAAGGAGATAAACACTGAAGTATGTGTCCACAAATTATTGGTGAAATATGAGTCATCGACCAGAAACTTGGAAGACTTGGCAAAGACATTGTAAAAACTGAGGATGCACGACATGAAGCTGCCAACTCTATTGATCAAATCAACATAAAACCAGCAAAACCATAAAGTCAAACCTAAGCCGCTGAGCCTAAATTCGAAGTTGCAAGTCTAATCACTGGTCTTCCATTTTCAATGGGGTTGTGAATCCAACCGATGGGTCCTAAGTCCTACTTTTGGGTTTTCTTCAACCATGAAGTTGTGAGTCCCACATATAGACTTTCTTATTGATGTAAGCTCTAATCTAATTAATAAAACTAACACTAAGCTAGCAAGTCCCTCAAATAAAGTTTAATTATTGGGTTTTTCTTAGGTTATAAGCCTCAATATTGAAATAAATTTGAAATATAGTTACTCAGTCCACTAATGGATCATCCAAATAATGTAGTCCCTAACCTAGATTTGGTCCAACTTTTATTAAACCTATCAATCTAAACTGAGACCAACAACCAAAACCCATGTGTCCCTTAGACGTTACTTATTTGTGTCAAACTTAAAATCAAGAATAATTGATCTCAAAAACATGTTTTGGCATGCACTTCTAATGCAGCCTACTCAAGATATCTAAGAAGAGGCAACTCGTAGTTGCTGATCAGGCTCTTCAAATGTTCCAGCTCAAAACCCTCTAGCATTGCAGATTTGGTGCATTGGTAAACAAGACGAATAAAACCAAAAGGTTTTGATCAAGTTTACACGCATTACCCCAATCATTTCCCGTTTTTGATCAAATATAACCCTATAATCGAGCCGAAACGACACCTTAATTGAGAAGGCTCTCCCATGACTAAAAGGAAAAATTAGGCAAACTAGCGCTAAAAATGTTTCAACCCCAATCTTAATAAAATCTGCTAAAAATATCAAAGGTTATCTAATTAATTAAAACTAATATACCTTGAGTAAAACAATAATCGAGCTCATATTACATTTCTTTAGTGATCATGTAATTCACTATTTGGTTATAACTTATTTATCAAAATTATAGAACGAAGATAATCTTTTGTTATATTCATTTGAAGCCTTAGTCGTTTTTTAACAAAGATTTGTATTGTAGATATTATTTCTTATGTCTATATTATTTAATTCACTATTTGGTTATAACTTATTTATCAAAATTACAGAAGGAAGATAATCTTTTATTTTATACATTTGAAGCCCTAGTCCTTTTTTAACAAAGATTTATATTGTAGATATTATTTTTAGTGTTTGAAACCCGAACTGGAACGTTTGCAATTAATTAAACTCTGCCCTATAATTGAATCCCTTTTCATCAAATTCACAATGAAACTTTAAGGTGCCCTCTTTGGAGCGTCCTCGCTAGAATGGTGGTCTAGGCGTCAAACACTCTCTAAGCCCTTGATACGGATGTTTTTAGTACAAAACCGATCGATTAAAGATTAAAGATATAATGAAATGACATTTGAACATTTTCTATTTCTATTGACAAGGCATTTCTTAACACAATCTCTCTTTTTTTTTCATTCTTGAAAAAGCACATAATACACTTCTCCTCCACTATTTGAATTTCCTTTAGTTGAAAAGCATAGTCTCAATATTATCAGTTTTTCAGGCGACTCCCATTCACTATGAACGCATGCTTCTCCGTCATATATGACTCATTTAAATCTCCCAAAGTCCTAAATTTTGTAATGACATCAGACGGTACCAGAGATATCAATGATAATATATAGATTTGTAAAAATTAAGAGACCAAATTAAATCATAAAATGTCCAAATGAAAACGTACAAGCAGTAAGACTGAGCAGTCAATGAATGCGACTTAGATAAATAGAAACAAATAAATAAAAAATCGGATACCATCTCTTGAAATTTGTCGCAGCCCACTTCAAAGTTGTGTGTTTTCTGTAATTAGAGAGAAAGATAGGTAAATGGCCAAGCATCCTAACCTTCAAAGCTGCAATTCCAAGTATTCCAGAGCCTGTGCCATAGTCAAGAAGCTTTTCCCCACCTTTGATCAAGCTATGCAACAAACACAAGCATAACATAGTCGTGGGATGTTCGCCAGTGCCGAAAGCCATTCCTGGATTGAGGATAATATTGGTTGCGTTTTGAACCTGACATGTATCACAAATAATTTAACTTCTACTCTTTCAATATATGACACAAACTAAACCATCAATAAAATTTAACGATGTTTCAAAATTTCATTCTATATAGGAAGCTTCAACATCAATAAGTTTTGAATACTCACTAGCTCATAGAATAAGAGATAAATATTTGCAAAAATCTAAATGAAGTCGGGTATTGTGAGAAATTTTACACTAGTTTATATGTTTCCTCATTCAATCAATGAGGCAAACTAAAGAATCAATAAAAATTAACATACATATCACTCAATTCCCATGTATTTACATATCAAGCACCTAAACTTCAAAACATGCATGCTACCTTCCTATACATGAAAAGGTGTATTCCACTCTTTAAAAGTTAACATGGTGGTATTTTTTATGTTATATGAAAAATTTAAGTGGTATAAATGTTAAAAAACAAAGTTTAGGTGCTGAGTACGTAACTACATAGGAATTGGGTGGTATGTATGCAAATGCCCCCATCAGTAAAATTTAACTTGATGCATACTCATTTCAATTTGAAGAGTTCTAAAAAAGAGAGATATTGATATTGATTATACTCAAGTCATTAAAAATACGTATACTAGAGTTTTTATTTGTGTTCGAACACATGGAGGATTGACAAGTATTTTTCTATTTCAATTGGATTACATCAGATCAGCTTTAAGCCCACATTTGCTCTGCCTATGAATGTTTTCACTAGACATTTACAAGAGGATGTATCTTGGTGCATGTTTTTCGCTGATGATATCCTTCTTGTCGATAAGATTAGAGAGAGAGAGTTAAGGAAAAAATTGAATTATGAAGGTCAACTTTAGAGTCTAAAGGTTTTTGTTGAGTAGATATAAAACTAAATACAATGAATGTAATTTTAGTAGTAGTAGATCTAGTGACAAGATTGTAATAATGGATGACCAAGTCATTAAAAGGAGTGAACGTTTTAGATATATCGGGTTTATTGTTCAAAATAATGGTGATAAAGATTGGGATGTTATTAGTATAAATCAAGTTGGATGGTTGACGTGGAGGAATGCATCGGGCCTATTGTGTGATAGAGAAGTACCTCTTGGACTTAAAAAGGAAAAATTTATAAAATGGTCTGTGATAGAGCATTCTCTCTAATCTTGCAATGCTATATGACGCAGAATGTTGCCCTTTAAAAGAGAAGCATAAAATTAAATTAAGTGTTTCTAAGATGAGAATGCTCCTGTGGACGAGTAACTTTACACAAAGACAAAATGCTAAATGAATATATCTGTGAAAGGGTTGGAGCAACACTAGTGGCAAATAAAATTAGAAAGTCGCCTTAGATGATTTGGTCACATTAAATGTCAACCATCTAATGACCCAGTTAAGAGAGTAAATGTTTTAGATTCAACTTATATTAAAAAAAGGTGGAGGTAGACCTAAAAAGACTTGGGCATCTTTTATAAAGAATGATCTTAATTATTTAGAATTAAATGAGACTGTGCACTCAATAAAACAATGGAGAAAAAGGATTCATCCAGCCAACCCCACTTAGTAGGATAAAGGCTTGTTATTGTTGTTATTGTTGCATGCTCATTTCAATTTGTACGATAAATGCAAGCACTCATAAAATGTCAGTTCTCATTATAAGAGCATAGAACAATTTCGAGGAAGACAATATTTTACCATAATAAAAAAAATTTTGGTATTACATAATTGAAACTACATCAAGAAAATCCATAGAAACAGTGCTGGGAAAACAGTTATAAGTGTTGAACCTTAAAATTTCCTTTTAAAAATTTATGCTTTGAAAAATGATGAGGTTCATTAAATCTATAATTTTGTTGAATCTACTTAGACATCGAAATTGATTCCAAATTTCAAAAGCCTTTACAAAACAACCTCAAAAGTAGTGATTTTATATTCACATTCAAAATGAATGAAAAGGAAAACATTGCAACGAACCAAATCAGCCTTTAAGGTAATTCAATTTAAAATCATAAACATAAGGGATTGTAGATTCATGCTTTTTCAAGTCCAAAAGATGAAACATGCTGTTTTACCACTGCAGAAAAATAGAAAGTTTTTCATCTAATACAGAGCCTAATATTAACTGAATAACAAAAACATCCTGAGAATTATGTCACGGTAAGAAAGGTTACTATTACTGGAGAATTAATATAAGTTTACCTGATAAAGTAAATCAGTGGGAGAAGGCTTCATAAGGAATGAAATTCATAGCATACTGATTTAAGGCATCATACAACATGGGTTTAAGTATAGATTTAATGTTTATAGTTCACCACAAATCTTTTATCAATTTAATTTAAGTATTATAATAAAAAATGCGCTCTTCCAGCAAAAGCCTAAGGTGTCATGATGAATAATCATTAAAAAATACCAAAAGAAAAGAAGAGTATTCCATGATAAGACCATAATATATGAAAGAAACTGACTAGAATGGAATATGTTGAACATACTGGAGGAGGTTTCCATTTAGGAACTATCCAAAGACCACTAGTGACTTCTATCGGGTGAAATGTTTCCTGTAAAAAAGGTTACAACAACAAAAAGTAAATTTAGAGAACAAAATTAAAAAGATCGATCAAAAAAATGATTAAAGTATCTCGTTGGTTCAAAATTGTAATTATTGCCCTGTAATCATCAAATATCTTCCTAAGGAGGATATAATAAAAAGTATATATATAATTAACGCTACATACTCAAAGAAAGTAACGGAAGATCAAATAATTCTGAAAAGACAAATGAAAAGGGGCAAATTGCATGGTAATACACCAAGCAACATGATGGTATTGCAAGAGTCAAAGATGGCACCTCATGCGTGAAAGCATGCTTACATCGTGGCATCATATTTAATGATTTCATCTTATTCCACAAGTATTATCTGATCACATGTAAATTTACCCATAGAGACCTTTTTGAAAATATAGAAGTCAAGGAATTGATTACGTCCGATATTCATACACACTCAGAGCAATTTCAATGGTTTTTCTTAGCGAGTTGTCATCTCAGCAGAATGGGATAATAATCCTTCCACTTCATCCTTCGTCCTTCTTTTGTTCCATTTTTCTTTCTTCCATCAATAAATAAGCGTCAGATTTTATTTCTTAAGCATTATTCTCGGCACTGACTATCAAAATCTCAATATAAAAATCTATTATAGGGGACTGCAGTGATGAACTTGTCTTCTTCACTCTTCTTGCATGGGCTTCTATTGGATAAAAATTTATACATGGGTAACACCAAAACCTTACTAGCAAGTACAAATTGAGCTTGACAGCAAAAAAAAAAAAAAAAAAAAAAAAGGAAAAAAAAAAACGGAAGAGGGAAGCTCAATGGATTTCACTATTCCCTTCAGAGAATATAAGTAAGGTTGTCAAAAAAGCTCGATGTTCGTGAACAGTTCGTGTTTGACTCGTCGGGAGTTCGTGTTCGATTCGTTCAATAAGCAAACGAGACAAACACGATCAATTTTTTTTCGATCGGTTTATAAACGAACAAAACACGAACAATCATTTGTTTGATCGTGATCGAATCGTCTTTGTTCGAAACATAAAATAATTATATATAAAAAATTTATCATATTTTAAAAATAATTATATATTCTAAAAATTTATGATATTTTAAAAAATTAAAACATATAAATTATAATCTGATCTTTAGGTTCGCCTCTTAGCTTATATTAAATTCTATAATTTCATATTTATCTTCAGGTTCGTCTCTTAGCTTAAATTCTCTTATATTTTTTTTAGATTTATTTAGTTTCTTTTAGTGAAACCTAGTTTTTGGGAATGAAATCTCACATATTGCCTTTAAATCTGAATTTTTTATGGATGAGATATGATATTATGATTTTATGGTGAGCTGTGCTTCGGCTATTTTGCATTTGTGTTGTGATTCATATAGGTTTAAGCATTAATTTCATATAGGTTTAAGTTTTTGAAAGATTTCGAACAATTCGAACAATACAAACAAATTTGTAAGATTTCAAATAATTCGAATAATTCGAACAATACAAACAATTCGAACATTTCAAACATTTCAAACATATTTCAAACAAATCAAATCGAACACGAACAGTAACTTCATTACCAATTTCAAACACGAGTCTATTTCAAACATCTGTAATTTTAAACGAACCGAACAAAAAAACAAGCTATGTTTGTTCGTGTTCGGTTTGTTTACACCCCTAAATATAAGTTCAAGTGGCCTGAGTTTTGTCAAATTCTACTAATATATGCTTAGATCAAGGCTTAGCGTTATAAAAATGACTACATTTGAGCACTGCAAGTAAAACTATATGTCAAAGCTTAAAAATAGTTATCATATTCTTTGTGAACCTTTTTAACCGATAAATGTTCAAAAATTTGGAGCAAACCAAGATAAGTTTCAGAGAAGGACAATAGTTTGAGGAAGAGTTGGCAAAACTCTTAAACAAGTTCCATAGAAATTTCCCTTCGCGAAACCACTAGCGAGCACTCTTGGCAAGTACATTTTGACTGAGTGAACATCTTTTGGCGATTTGAAAACTTTCATTGTGAATTAAATGAGCAAGTATGCTCTTTCTTCTAGTAGCTTCAGCTTAGAGTGAGTTGATCTAGGCGACTTAAATAGGAATGCTTTTAGGCGACTTAAATGCTTTGATATATTGGTTCAAGTGCCTGGTGATTTATTGAACCTGGCTCATGATGGTGATATAACTTATTCAACCCAACTTAGAAGACATTGAGTGTATAGATTTCAACATGTTACCCCTTTTTTATTCTCTTGTTTTCTTCCATTCATCCCCATATCGAGTTGGTCACACACAACCTCAAAATAAATGCAATCACCCATTTTCAAGATAGATACACCCTACATTTCAAGGGCATGAGTAAGGCATACTAGCCCATTTACTAAGCTAGCAAAAAGAAAAAAAAAGCTTGGTCTTATTGCTTAAAATATATTGCAGTGTTTTCTCAATTAACTAGTTTTGTAGTAAGTGTAAATGAACTTAGGCCGTCGTTCATTCTTTTGACAGGGTGAGTTATAACAGCCATAACTCCATATATGTGTCATCAGCTTCTGCTTAACAGCTATTTAGGTTTCTAGTTTCCATCAAAGAATGCTTACCCCCACACCCAATCCCAACAATGGGAGAAAGTTTGTACAAACCAGCATTATTTTGGGTGCCAAAAACATACAAAGGGAACAAAACTAAAAGAAAAACAAAACAAACTCCACTTCAGGAATGAGGAACTGGCAGCAAGTACTCTTCATGATTTCAAAGAACAAGATTATAACTTGGTGGTGATGAGATTATAGGTTGGTGTCAAATAACAAGATTTTAGCTTGGTGGTGATGAGATTGACCTACCCTTCAATTGCTTGATGAATAAAAGAATGGTGATTTGTATTAGAAGTCCTCCAAAAAAGATATAAAAAGAGGACAAATTCATTCAAATGAGAGGAAGACAGAGCTGGGCACAAAAATTTCTTGCACGTAAACATTCGTATTAATCATTAATCCAATAAAATTTCTTATACATAATAATTGTGCGTTGGCCCTCATTCTTTACCAAAAAAACAGAGAACCAAACTCTGAACTATTCATTCAAATGAAAGAGGAAGAGAAAGCGTCGGACACAAAAAATTCTTGCTTGCAAAAAATCATACGAATCATTAAGCCGATAAAATTTCTTATACATAAAAATTGTCCTTTGGCAACCAATTTTTCTCAAAAAACCAAAATCAGAGAAAACGAATGAGAAAGACAATATGTTGGATCTTCAGTAAGACGAGTCCTAGTAAGGAACTTTCTAAAATAGGTATTAATATGATTATGCCTTTATTTAAAAAATAAAACTAATCAAAAGTATTACACAGAAAAATCTAATGATGTGCCGAATAAAAATGATGTGGTATTATGGCGCATTGTCTTATATTAATTGGGAAACATAATCCTTGATAGTTGCGGGCTTTGAAAGAGCCACAAGATGCGCTAGAGTTAGGTTAGAGGTCCATGAGTGACAGAGACCAATAAATCCAAAAAAATAATAAATACTAAATTGAGAATAAAATGTTACAAGGGCGCCTAGCCTAAGGGCAAGTTTGTCTTTTGCATGACTAAGTGCAATTTTGTTTATTATTATTATTATTATTATTGGGTGTATATAGGCTTATTATGTTTAGGGTTAGTTTTTATGCATGACATTGAGTTATGAGTCTTAGGTTTAGGTTTTGGAAGAAATTTCCTACCTCTCGAATGGTAGGAATTGGGAGAGATCGCCTATCTCTCAAATTGTAGGTGTTTATCCTTGTATTCTCATTGAATTGTTTGAATTATTGAAATAAAAAAAAATCTGTTTGCCTTAATTTTTGTGGAGAATCGTGTCGATTTTTATTCCTGATCATATCAAATTGGTATCAGAGTAAGATTTATAAGAAACAACCTTCAAAAACGTCATACAGTCTCGCGGAGAAAGCAATGATGCAACAGAGGATGCAGGATAGTAGATTGTGGCAAGGGAAAAGAAAGGATCACGACATACGACACCTCGAGGTTTACCTAGGACCGAAACTAGTCTCCTGCTCTGTACTTGTGCGAAGCAGTCACCAGTAGTGCTACGACTATGGGATCACGACCTAGAGTGACTAGACGCACCTTTCCTTGCGAGCGACCAAGCTAGCTGCAAAGTCACTGCGACATCGTGGGATACAGAGGCCCGAAACTCCATCTTCCTATCAGTGGCCTACCACCTTCATAATCGAACACTGTAATACAGTTGTGCTCAAGACTTGCTGTCCTAATCTAAGCCTCAGGATAAGATCACAGTTAAAAGTCAATTGGGAAACAAAAGGAATTGCAGAATAAATTCATCTCCGGCATACCGAACCAGCCAAACATACTAGATCTAAATGAGTGGGGAAGGTTGTGCCCGAATCGGGCGTGCCCTAATTGTGACCCTAGAAGTCAGCTGACCAAATATGGAATCAAGTATGCCTTAATAATAAGGATGAATTACAGTCAAGAAAATAAACGATTTGGAGATTGGAGGAAAAGGTGAGGCAACTCAGATCGAGAGTGGAAGAAAGGTTCGCCGACATGAAAAATAAGTTTTCTTCCATAGAAAATTGAATGGAGAGTGGATTCGATAGAGCATAAGACATGTGAGAGATGATGAAGAGACTCATAGAGATGCAATCCGAAAACCCGCCAACAGCCCAATTTGCAAACCTTGACTGAGAATCTGTGGCAATCGAAAGGAAAATAGATCGTCGGTGAGAAACATAAGCAGGAAAACATCCATCATCACAAACCTCCTCTCAAGACTCCGATTAGGGGTGGATTAGAGATTTCTGATGGGGGTGATTGGGTCAAAACATGGAGAAGGGATTATTTCAGAGGTATGGAGGAGCACGATCGAAGAAAGGAGTTTTATCCTCAATACATTGGGGGAAACAACGGAGGAAGAGGAAGTTGGGGTGGAGATTTTAGAATTAGGAAGTTGAAAATGCCAATCTTCGAGGGGGAAAAAGCACATGGGTGAGTGTATTAGGCGGAGCGATAATTTGTGGTGAATGGGTTAGATGGGAAGGAGAAACTTATGTCGGCAGGATTGTGTTTGGAAGAAAAAATCTTAGCCTAGTTTCAGTGAAAGGAGGCTATATACCCGATTCACATGTGGGGTGAATTTAAATATTGTTTGTTAGAACATCTCCGAGCCATTCGGGAAGAAAACCAACATGAACAATTCTATGCCTTGACTCAGAAGGAAACGGTCATGGAATATAGAGAGAAATATGAACTATTGTCGGGAAGAATGTGGGGGGATTTCTGAAGCAGGACTGGAAGGGAATTTTATGAAGGGTTTAAAGCCCGACATACTGGCATCACTACTAAGGGGGTTGAGGAAGATAATGAAGCTAGTTCAGATTGTAGAAGACAAGAACCAGATTAAGAAGGCCAACAGGAGCAACACAAATGGAGCATCATATGAAATTACTGCAACCACCACGATGCTAAAAGCTCAAATAGCGGAAGTTTAGAGAGAGGCTGCACGAGACAAGAATAATGGGTCACGACCAGGAGCGACACTCAAGCGCCTTACAGAGACAGAGATTCGGGAGAAGCGAGCCAATGGGTTATGTTATCAGTGTGAAGAGAAGTTTACCTCAGAACATATTTGCAAAGATCGAAGATTAGAAGTTCTCACAGTGCAGAAAGAGGAAGTAGAAAATGAAGAGATAGACAACTGTGGGGGAGGACGATCACTTTCATTTTTTTCCCACCTAGAACATGGTGCCTTTTTTCTTTGTGGAGGATGGGGTAGGGGGGGAGTATTGTTACGAGGGCACCTAGCCTAAGAGCAAGTTTGACTTTTGTATGCTTATTATGTTTAGAGATAGGTTTTATACATGAGATTGAGTTGTGAGTCTTAGGTTTAGGTGATGGGAGAGATTTCCTACCTCTCAAATTGCAGAAATTGGGAGAGATCGCCTACCTCTCCAATTGTATGTTTTATCTTTGTATTCATTTGAATTATTAAAAAAATATATATCTGTTTTGTCCTAATTTCTGTGGAGAATTCTGTCGATTTTACTCCGGATCATATCATATAACCTAATGATTTCACCTAAAAATGTAGAAGACACCAAACATAAGTCATTTAGAAATATGAATCCCACGGGCACAAAACCACAAGATTAACAATATAGGAGGTCTAATAATAAATAAAACTAAATTAAAGAAGTTAATTGGGATTTTCGACTTCACATAAAGAGGTTCTAGGCTAAATTCCTAAAAAAGGTTGCCTCAAAAAAACTGTCATGCACAGAAACATAAGCGGTCAGAATGACACTTCGTGCCAACATGTTTGCAGGATTACTTGGACATTAGTTTTTCACCTCCAAAAGTTTGAGAAATAGCAGGTCCACTAAAATGAAGATAACAATAACTGAAAATGATCAAGGGCAATTAAGGTCTTACTACAATAACTGAAAATGATCATAAAAAAATCAAGAAAGTAGAAAAATCTAAGAGGACAAGGTTGAAAGTGTGAGTCCTACAATTCACAAATGGGATTGTCCAAAAAGGGTGAAAATCTGTATTGATTGTAAATGTGAAACTAATAGAATTATTCCGAGGAGAAAAATACCTAAACTAGCCTCACAGTACCAATTTAGGTAAATATCTTAATTTAAAATGGGTCTCGCCACAACGTGCATTGAGTAGCCTCTGATACTAATCAAAGGTTTGGCTGAAGAGACATTCTCTCAAAAATTTGAGTAAAATGCTGAGAGGATTACAGTAGTCCATAGGGGCAAATGCATTGACTTGAAAGTGGGACTCAACAAAGCACGGTGAAAACCCTCCCAAGTCTAGCAAAGTTTAAGAAGGCAGAAAGCAAGTTTAATATTCTTTGAACAAGAAATAGTTATAACTCCACCCATGCATCAATCTGACATAAGTCAATATTATTATAATTTAGCCTAAATATAAAGAAGAAATAAGTCTTATAATGTCGCCTGGTAGACAAGCTGGCATGACATGTATATAGGTAGGGTCTTCTATAAGAATGCAATATTATTTAACCTACATGCACACACATCTAAGCTTGTAGGATGAAAGTACAACAAATAGCATTTGTCAACTAGTCCAATGTTTGTACTTTGTAACCCTGGCACATGGCCTATGCTATGATCCCAAACTGGATGAGACTTATCTATAATTTTATAAAAATTGTGCCCAAGTGGTCAAATAGCTTTGAAAGCATTTGTTTATTTCAATTTTTTTAACAAAGCCTACTAAAAAAATGTCCATAAAGTTATTGAAAATTAATGACAATCATATGTAACAAGTGGTAAATCTAAAATTAAATTCTACAAAAGCAGTAAAAACAATCATACAATGACATGGACAAAGTGCAACCAATATCATTCTCGAGATCATCTGCGGGTGCTCCTTCCAACTCAACTTTTGGTTGGCTTTGTTGGTGAGTACTTTGGATGACCTTGAAGATGAGTACTTTAGAAGCTCAACAATGCTGAAAATGGTCAATCTACTTTCAAACATTATAATGTGGAAAGTGAAGTGAGTTGCGAGGTACTTGCTATTTCAATAGATGCTCTCTAGCATCTAAGCTTTGGACAGCAAACCCTCCTCCGAATCACATGAAAAAACTTGAAGAGAACTTTAGGCCTGGTAACTGATTTTTGGCCTTCCTCACTGTCATATGAAGAGGAAAGAGGCAATTGAATGGTCGAAGCAGCAATAATGCTGGAAAGTTTAAGAAAGGCACACCCAAGAAAAAAATGAGATGCAATAATTTTATAACTGAACTGTTTGTCATGATGAACTCCGAGAGCCGGCTCATCTATGCCTAAGCCAATCTCGTATGTCGCTAACAAGCCTTTCATGAATAGAAATCAAGGGTGTCAAAAATTGACCCGCCGGGTTTGCGTTGACCCAAATAATTTTGGGATCGGGTTCAGGTTAAATATCCTAACCTGTTTAGTTTTTTGGGTTGGATTTGGGTTGACCAGCAAATGGCTAGAACTAGACCCACTAACCCGGAATTGATCAGAAATTGACTCAAAATTGACCTTAAACTGATCAAATTTTAATCTAGTAGTTCCTTATTTTAAACAAGCTATATGGGTCGGGTTCAAGTTGGCGGGTTGAAGGGTCAATTCGAGTTGGGATTTTTGACTCATTTAATATTCGGGTCGGATCAATTTCGGTTAATCACATCAAGATAAGAAGGGAGATACTTTAAGCTTCAAGGAACTGAAGTGTTATTCCTAGAAACAGGAGCTTGATTTTGCATTCACGTGCAAAGGAGTTCTCTCTACCCTTGACAAGGATGCGGAAGATAACAGACTAGACATTAGGCATAATATTCGGGCCGGATCTACATGTGTGAATATGTATGTATAGATTGTTCATATTCACAATCATATCTACACACCACACATGATAACATGCATTTTTAAGAATGTGTATATGGCATTTAAATAGACTTTATGTTCATGAACAACTCATGTTTAGTTCAAAACCGACGAGTTAAATACAAACAAAATTTTGGCTTAGTAGCTCGAACAGAACATGAGGTCAACCAAACTCCGCGCAATTACACTCGTAATCAAGGGAGAGGTTGAGTGAGAGAGATTCATTTTCTCTTTTAATCACGGTTAGGTGTTAGGAAGCACAAAGACTTCCATAAGTACCTTTTGAGCTTGTGTTAGATGTGTTTGCCATGCTTAAAAAAATAGACATGTCTCTAACACACCCCAAAATGTGTCTATGCGCTCAAAGTTGTATTAAAATCATTTAAAAAAACACCACCTGACATAGCCCAAACCTGACTCAACATGCCATAAGAATAGACACGAACATAGACAAGGACAAATGCGCAAGGGAAGGGTCATTTATGACACATTAATGCATGCAAAAAATATGTAACAACAAACAATAATTAATGATTTTGAATATTTGAAATTTGTTTACCAACGACAAATGACGCGTGACAAATCATTTTTTACTTAAAATAATATTTGTTTTTCTATTGATATTGTTAAGCTTCTTTTGTAAAATATAATTTATGACAGTGTGCTTTACTGGGTGTTGTCTTTAGTAGAAAATATTATGCATTATGTATTCTATATTAATAATCTATAAAAAAAACTAAATTGTGTCCAAGACATGCAATGTCCTAGTTTTAAAAGTTAGTGTCGTTTTGGCAATGTCATATCGTGACCATGGGCAAATCTTTGGGATATAATGTCCTAATTTTCAAGAATCTAAAAGTATATCCGCAATAATAAGATATTAATGTGTACATTATATTCTGTAAAGAATTCCACAAAACATATAAGAAAAATAACAACTAGAAGGGATGTAGCTGCATAAGCTTGTTAGGAATTTTTCGAATTCCTACATGCTTAATCAGAAGAGAAATGAAAAAAGTACAAAAAATCATAAAAAAATTTGAAGGCTTGACAAATAAAAATTAAGCATGTGATTGCAAATAACAAGATTAACCAAAACCTCAATGCTCTTCAGCCAATCAAACCGCTCACCCTTGGAAACTTCATATTCAGGTACGTATTTTAAACCAATAGAATCCGAAGCTAAGGAAATGCATGCATGCACATCTTGGCCTTTGGCAAATAGGGAAGTTATCCAAGTCTGCAGAGGGTATTGTATAATTTAGAGAATAAAAAAAAGTATATTTTATAAGGAGCGAAAGATGGAAACAACCAATTGGAAAATTACTTGAACAATAGCAGCACAAATCATTAGCATTTTCCATACTTTCATTACAAACATGCACTTCAAAATCATAAAATGAGTTGTTTCATTTTAGCTTTGTTTAAAAACCATTAGCCACCTGCTTGCAGCCCATAAATAGAATGATTGGCAAATCTTAAGGATAAGCTGCAGTAGAAAGGCTTCATCCATACTACCAAAGTATGCTTTTAATTTTTGTTTTAGAAATATATTACATACACTGACATCTATTAGGTACATTAACTAGATAAATATTAAATACAGAAGTTGCAACAATCTAAAATAAAAAACATCATAAAAAATTAAGAAAATGACTTGGGGGCAATTGAGAGTCTAAAACATCTACTAGAAAAACGAGCTTTAGGAGGAAAAAAAAGCAAGCGAACAAACCAAAGCACAAATATTTTTTCACATAGCACATTAATATCCAAAAAAAATAAAAATAAAGATTTACAAATACGCCACTAAAATCTACTTGTTTGAGTAACTAGCACCCAAACATTTAAACGACTTGCTGAACCTTCTAGAATCATTGAGAATCAAAGTTGAAAAAGTTTTGCTGTTCTCTTTGAGATTTGTGTCGCTTCAAATACATGGGTGCTATTTCTATAAAGATACACTGTAGTAGACTACTCAAGAAATCATTAATATATATATATATATATATA